TTTGTGTTTAACCGATAGTTGGTGGAGGTAAAGGATACAACTACATCAGTTATAACCGAAATTTGTGTTTAACCGATAGTAGGTGGAGGTAAAATATACAACTACATCAGTTATAACCCGAAATTTGTGTTTAACCGTCGGTTGATGGAGGTAACGGATGCAACTACATCAGTTAAAACCGAATTTTGTGTTTAACCGATAGTTGGTGGAGGTAAAGGATACAACTACATCAGTTATAACCGAAATTTGTGTTTAACCGATAGTAGGTGGAGGTAAAATATACAACTACATCAGTTATAACAGAAATTTGTGTTTAAACGTCAGTTGGTGGAGTTAAAGGATACAACTACATCAGTTATAACCGAAATTTGTGTTTAACCGTTAGTTGGTGGAGGTAAAATATACAACTACATCAGTTATAACCGAACTTTGTGTTTAACTGTCGGTTGGTGAAGGTAAAGGATACAACTACATCAGTTATAACCGAACTTTGTGTTTAACCATTAGTTGGAGGAGGTAAAATATACAACTACATCAGTTATAACCGAACTTTGTGTTTAACCGTTAGTTGGAGGAGGTAAAGGATACAAATAAATCAGTTATAACCGAACTTTTGGTTTAAACGTCGATTGGTAGAGGTAAATAATACAATTACATCAGTTATAGCCGAACTTTGGGTTTAACCGTTAGCTGGTGGAGGTAACGGATGCAACTACATCAGTTAAAACCGAACTTTGTGTTTAACCGATAGTTGGTGGAGGTAAAGGATACAACTACATCAGTTATAACCAAACTTTGTGTTAAACCGATAGAAGGCGGAGGTAAAGGATACAACTACATCAGTTATAACCGAACTTTGTGTTTAACTGTTAGCTGGTGGAGGTAACGGATGCCAATACATCAGTTTAAACCGAACTTTGTGTTTAACCGATAGTTGGTGGAGGTAAATGATACAACTACATCAGTTAAAACCGAAATTTGTGTTTAACCGTCAGTTGGTGGAGTTAAAGGATACAACTACATCAGTTTTAACTGAAATTTGTGTTTAACCGATAGTAGGTGGAGGTAAAATATACAAATAAATCAGTTATAACCGAACTTTGGGTTTAAACGTCGGTTGGTAGAGGTAAATAATACAATTACATCAGTTATAACCGAACTTTGGGTTTAACCGTTAGTTGGAGGAGGC